CTAGGGAAGCTTCAGCCTGTCACTTACATGCTCACAAACTGTCTTGGGTGTCCTGAGGGCTGCTGATCCCCTGGACATTTTGCTAATGTCTGAGAGTAGCTGTCAAACTGAGGTGTCACAGACATTGTCATATATGTCAGCCTGGCACACGGAGCAGAGAGCGCAACTTCTCTGTGCCAGCGTGACAGAGCACGGACATCCAAACCCAGGAAGTCTGAGCTCATCCTGAAGTGGCCAAGAGCTGGAAATGAATTTGTTTGATTTGAACCAAACAGTGGCCAAGGGCTCACCTCAATGCTTTTGGCACTCAGGAGAGAGAAGGGACACCACCTTAGTCCAAAGCCAACTGGACATGTCAAACAAAAGCTTGCTTAGGCTCCAGTGGTGAATTGCTTCATGGGAACGTGCTGTTCAGATGCTTTATTGAATTTTCAAGGAGCAGTTTTTCATTGGGGCTGAAATATGAGAGAGAACAGAGTGTTCCAAGTCACTAAAAATGAACAGAGCAACAGCTTTACAGGTTTGTGAGTGGCAAGAAAGGTTTATTTAATAATGGGAAAAGGCCGGAACATAGCCTAGGGCATCAAGACAGAATTAATCTAATTAACAAAATAAAACATGGACTTAAGAAGAAATACTAATTGTAGCTGTCCAGCAGGTTGTGTGATACAGGTTATTTTTCTTAAGCATCAAGAAGCTTGCAATATTGATCCCTCAAAGGCCTGAGATGTTAAATATACACTTCCCCAGTGAGTAAAGCAGGTGGTTAATTAATTTTGGCTTGTCAGACCTGGTTGCTGAACCTTTGGGTCTTGCATGAAGTAGATGATTCTATAATAAATTTTGCATTGCCTCTGGATATATGTCTTCTCCAGGTGGTCTGTATTTCATTTTGTCCCTGTGCAGTAAATTTCTAGCTATATGAGCAGAATCACTGGGCTTGTTCTTGTTTTAAAGCAAGTTGCAAATGCTGCTACAATTAAAGTCTTGTCATCATGCTGGGTGAAAGCTGTAGCAAGCTGACATTGTGCGAGATGAATGAGGTGAGATGGGCGAGTTTGGGTCGAAGAGGGGAACCTCCCAGGTTGTGGCACCTTCTGTAAGGAGCAGGTAAGGCCTTTGATGTGCTGGGGTTGTGTGGCTAGTAATTGCTTTTTCTGATGTCTGTGGCTGCTGTAGAAGCACCAGCACTGAAACAGACACAAAATGTTGTTTTGTTGTGACTGGGACACCTGCTCAACTCTGGTGATTTTTTTTCTGAGATGTGCTGGCTTTGCAGAACTCTCGAAGTGTTTTCTGGCCCATCTGGGAGCCGAGAGGGGTGGAAGGACATGTTGTCCTCTTCTGGACATAACGTCTCACAGATTGCTTTGCAATAAATGGCTAGTGCTTGGGCTGACAATTCACACCACTGTTTGTGAAGGGCAATGGAAATCAAGGGACCAAACAAATTAAAAGATAAAAAATTCAAAGTTAACATCATAACGTGAAACAAACAGTTGAAGTAGAAGGTTAAAAGCTCTGTTGTGTCAGAAAACGGTATGTGATGTGGTCATTAAGCTTTGGATTGCAGCTTTTTCAGGATATGTGCAGAGCTGTAGGTAATTCCAGCTTTGTCTTTGTGCTGAGTGATTAGGATGTGGGAGACCTCCGCAGTGTAGGTTTGTTACTTCCCACCAAGTCCTGTTGGAAAATGAGTTTGAGATGAGCCATTGAAAGAGAGAAGTTAAACAAAATGCATCTGGGATTAATGTGGGTTTGTAATCCTACTAAAGGAAACTCTAAAATGGGGAAGAATATCCCAGTAATTTCACTTTGATCCTCTTCACTGGGGTGTCCATGGTATTAACGTGAGGTGCAAGAGCAGCATAGCAGGACTTTAAGTAAATCCTCTCAGCATCAGGATTAACGTGACCAGTTCTCAGGCTGGCTCCTTTCAAAAAGTGGTTTCTTCAGTTCTTTTGACTTCACCTCCGAGTGGCTTATGGGGGTGTTTATGGTGGGTTTATTTTACATATCAGGAATTTTGGCCCAAGTGTGTCACAGTAATTTGTTACATTTTTATAAGCTTGTCTTGACACTAGAGTTTGATCATGAGCTTGGCCTGCATGGAGATATGTGAGTGTGTTAGGAAGTGGGGACACGTTTGCTCCCCCCTCCATTGCCAGAGTATTACCCTGTTGCTGTCTCTGCTACCATGATGCTAAGGGACAGGGAGCTTGTCCCCGCTTCAGAGCCTTCAGGCTCAGCCATGTGTTGTACATCTGACAGGCACACGCTGTGTTTCTCTTACAGATCTGTTTTGCCCACTGCTTCCTGTGTTTGCTGGAGGTTTTTTCCACCTTTTTCCTGTCTTTTTTTCCCCTTTCTTGCTAGCACATATGCACAAAGCATTGTTTATTTTCATCTTGCCCTTTCTGTTTTCCCTCCCTCCAGATTTCCTTTATTTCTATCTTATATTCATTCTAATCCCCTTCCCTGGAAGTCATGCTTCAGGCAAGGGTAGTTTTTAGTATCACTGATTTGAAACAAGCCTGTTTTGTAATGGACGATCAGATACCAGTGGAGTGATTTAGGAGCTTATCCCTGAAGTTCAAGAAAGTAGAAGCAATCTTTAGGTCAGTGGAAAACAGGGGTTTTTTTTGCTAAATGAAGGTAGACAATATAGAGATGTCTTGGGGTTTTTTGTTCTTTAGAAAAGATAAAGTGCGTGATCTTTATCTTCCTCTTAATAGCTAGTTCACAAACTAATCTCTACTGTTGATTTCTTCCATGCAAACCGAACAAGACTGCTGAAGGTGGAGAAGAAAGCTAAGTTTTTGAAGCACATCCAAACTACCAAGAATCATTCACTTTCCTTTCAAATGCAGCATTAGCAATAGAGCTCTAAATCAATGAAAGGTCTAAAATGAGATTATATTCCTGAGATCAGATGTGAATCACAAGTTAATCATATTTTCTTTTATTATCACTGTCTTTACCCTTTTATTTTATCCTGAGAAATTAGGTTTCTGACTTGAAAACAGAGTGAACTGTGAAGGCATGAAATCCTGCTGGGTTAGACCACACCAGATCACCTGTGGATGGAGTCCCAGAAATCTTTTGTTTTGGAGGTTCATGTTGCATCTGAAGCTAAGCTGGAGTGATTTAAGTTAGTGCTGTGCCTCTCTCTCCCTCTGATGTTTCAAGTAGCTGTTCTCTTAAATTAATGGGAAAATATTACTGCTAAAGCTTGCTAAATAAGGTTTAAAACCCACTCTGGATGTGACAGGGTAGGACAGCAAACAATTATCTCTTGACTGTGGCACGAAGCTCAGGGAACTGTTTTTTCTATTGCTATATTTTTATCTGAAACTGTGGTGAAATGCATCCACATCTGAAAGCAGAGGTACAAGGTGACTTGCAAGATTAGTGTGTGAGTGAGGCATGCAAGCACGTCGATGGTGTGTATCTGTTCATATGAAATGGCAGCTGTAAGGACTATGCTTCCAGGCAAGCGGCATCAACTTTAGTTCCAGATTTATGTGCATGATACTGCAGGAACATGAATGTGTACTTGAGAGATGACGTTGGCATTGTGCTTATGTGCATGTCTCTGGGAGAGGTGTATCTTGGTGGATGCATTTCTGGCTGGCTGTAGTTGAAGAATGATGCTGACCTGAATCTGTGGATGCAACAAACACTATGGACAGTGCAGGTATAATGAATAAATGCTTTGTTTATAGGATAAAGATTGATGTGAACAAAAATGATGGTGTTGCAGGAGGGGAACTTGCAGAGTGTCTTGCAGGGAGTGTGCATACTGAGTGGGAAAGTCCTCAAAGATGGCACTGTCTGACCCTTGAACTATTCTCCTTGCAGCTGATAATGTTCCAGTATCTGTCCACTTGAGGGAAAGACTGAGTATGGCAACAGAATGGTCACCACACATGCCAGCAACATCACCCCTTTATGAATGAAGGTTCGTGTCGTTGCAGAGCCGCGTATTTGTGCAGCACACTTTTGTGGCAAAGTACGTGAGGGTGGGCAGCACATGATGGCTCAAGTCTTGTGTTTGTGATCAGAGGGAGACAGGTGTATGTAAAAAGGCTCCTCCACCTTTCCTCTGTGCAGCCACAGCACTTGCCAAGGCATAATTAGCAGGGCTCTCGTGTTTCAGGGCAGACTATTGAGCAGCTGCTGAAGTGCCAGCTCAGTTGGTAGCCTTAAAAACAAAAAGTCCCTTGTTTCTCATCACTACTGTGAAATGCTGCCTTCTTGAACCTTGGGTTTGGCCCTGCAGCTTTCAGGATAGACAAAATGTGAAATTTTTGCCCATGACGTATTCTTCTAGGTCTGTTTAATATCCGTTATCAATTTAATGTGCCACTTTAATGAGATTTTGCTTTTTCCATCTCCTCTGTAGAGCTGATTACTTAGTGTATGTGGTTGGTGTTTGTTTTTGTTTTTTTCAAAGGAAACTACAAGTGAAGAAGTTGAATGTTTGCTTCAGCTGAAGACAATATTTCCCAAGTCCTAGAGGGAAAAGGTGAAAAAGAGAACCGGAGGATGTTGCTAGTGAGTATGTACATGACAGGAAGCCATGACTAGCAGAGTGATTGTCAACAGGAAACAAAAAGTCACAGCCAATGTGACACTGCCATACAGTACACTTTCTGAGTTGTGTTGCCTGCTGGACTTTGTGGCCTGGGGAGCAGTGTATGTCTACGTGAGGGACTCTCCTGTCCGTTCGTCTGCTGGAGTTTGAATTATTCTGCATCTGGTTAATCCACTTTGCTGGAGTTGGCAAGACTTGTTTTTTTTTTCTTGACATCTGCTACTGTAAAAATCTTGAACAGCTATGGAGAGAAAAGGGTGCGTGTGAGCAACCTTCACTGGCTGGCAGCTGAGTGCTCTTCAGACTCCAGACAGCTTTGAGGTGTCTTGGCTATTCAGTGCTCTGCAGATATGAACGCTGAGCTTTTCTGGCACGTTCTTACGTTGGCCTGGTCACTCTCACCATGCTAGTACATGGGAAAGAAGACTTCCTCTCAGACGTAGCTTACATCGTCCTGGAACTGGTCATTGCAGTGCTGGCCATCCTGGGGAACATCCTGGTCTGCTGGGCAGTCTATTTGAATAGCAACTTGCAGAACGTCACCAACTATTTTGTGGTGTCCCTGGCTGCTGCTGACATTGCCGTGGGCGTGCTGGCAATTCCCTTTGCCATCACCATCAGCACTGGCTTCTGTGCCTTCTTCTATGGCTGCCTTTTCATTGCCTGCTTCGTCCTGGTCCTGACTCAGAGTTCGATCTTCAGCCTCCTTGCTATTGCCATTGACAGAATCATTGCGATCCGCATACCCCTCAGGTAAGCATGGGATGGGCTGGGGGCATGGAACGGGGCTGGGGTGTTGAGGGATGGACATCAGTGAAAACAACAGGTCTGGAGGTGAATCAAGAAAGGGAAAATTAAATGAGCAGCACCAATTTTTCCCTTGTAATTTGGAAAAAAACCTTTTCTAGGTCTTGAAGGCTGCCTTGGCTGCTGGATTATCTGGTCACTTCTGTTTCCGGTTCTGTGTCCTCATATGGTGTGTGCCCATGGCATCGCAACGGTGCTGCCTAAGAGCTGCCGTGCCATATTTAGGCAGGATCGTGTGGTAACCTCAATAACCTGCGCTCTGAGCTGGAGGCAACAGCACCAGAAGGATCATTGTGGGAAAGTGGAGCTAAAGCAACACATGGTGGAGGGCAGAAAGGGGGTGAGGTCAACTGGTCTCCTTCTCCTGGGGGAGAATGGAGGACCCTGCCTGCAGCTGTAGCAGCGTGGTTGTGGAGCGTGTGGGTGGGGATTTTCTCTTGGGGGTCCCTTAAATGTGAAGGGAGGAGAAGGAGCAGACTATGAAAAAATGAACCTTAGGAAGATTTGGACTAGCTTAGGCACTGCCTCTGGAAGGAAAGCATGTCGAGGTCAAGGCAGAGGCTTGTCCCAGCACGGATCTGGAGAAGGTTATTCTGTGGTCTCTTGTCTAGATTTTAAAGGAAGAAAAGGACTTTTAAATATTAGAGCTTGAGTAGGTGCTACTTTGTGTGCAACCAGGGGGTCTGATGTGGGACAAGAGGAAGTTTTACCACACACCCAGGGGCTGCTACTCAGTTCACTTTTCCAGAAGCACATTGTTGTGACGGGATATATCTGACCGTGGGCGCAGAGCAGCATTGCGTCTTGTGGGCTGGGTTTGAGTGCTTTGTGACAATGCTTCCGAGTCATTCAGTAAGCTCAAAAGATGTAGAGGAAGCCCCAGGAGAGGCTGGAGCAGGCAGAGTGTAGGAGTCTCCTTCCTTCCCATCTTGTCAGCAGCACACTCTCAGGAATGGAAAGATTTAAAAAAATGCTGAACAACAAATGTGGCTGCAGAAATGGAACAAATTTCTGATTGTTGTGCTCTCAAGTTTGAGTTTTTTGGACATCATCACTCCTGTTGAGCTTAAATCACTTGTGTTGGCCTGTGCAATTTAGATTTTTCTCTTGTGAATACTTTGGTCATCCAGCACTTATGTTGATTAACACAAAACTCCCGTTCAAAAAGGAAGCATCCTTTTCCCCGGAGCTGCGGAGATTACCTTTCCATGTGGACCAGTGCAGTCCTTCCTGCAGCCTTGCCTCAGCAAGCCTTTGCTGCTGTAGCAGGACTGTTAATTGTTGGCTTCCAAACCTATAATCGTACCTGTTACAGCCTCTACTTTTGATGTAGTTATGAGTAATAACTATTCAGTTCCATTGTGGAGAAAACTTATATTAGTTACCTGTAAATTGGACTGTCTCCACTTCCCTGCAGTTCTACAGATAGATGGTTTCAGTTTATAAACCAAAATAATTATAAATGGTACAAAGAAACATATGTACAGTAGCCCTCAGGACCTTGCCTCTGAAATGATTTTGAGAAGGGCTAATGTCTTTAATTCATCTTTCATGAGCTAACTCTGCAGACTTCTGCTGACAGTTTAAGCGCTCTTATTGCTAGAGGATGACTTGCCAGGAAAAGGATTTTAAAAATCTGGATTTCTGCCCATTTTGGGGGGTATTATTGTAACTATATTGTCTTGAAAATTTAATTTCCTGGAATAACCAAGGTAAAGAGTCTTTTAGAAAAATCAGAATTCATCAGTGCTGAGTACTGTACTGGTTTCACTATTTTGTTTTTGAAAAAACAGAGCACACCTTCTTCTGCCCCAGAAACAGTGGAGTTGATTGGGTGCAGAAACTCACAGGTAGATCCAAGGGTCCATCCCCTTCCTCGTCCTCTACTGGTTTGTCCCTTTACAGTAGGAGCAAAGAACTTGTCAGTTGTGTTTCCCCTTAAGAATTTATGGATGAATAAGCATTAGATTTATAGCCCCAGACATGCTGAGAAAGTGAAAGCTGATTAGCTGAAGAGGGAAATGTGGTATGATTCACACTGCTCACGTCCTCATTTTTTTTTTTCTTTTTCTGATATCTGATTGTCTCAAAAATGTGTCAAAGCACCGGAAGGAAAGTTCTGCCACTAAAGATGCAATGTTTTCACTCCATCTTTTAATGCTTGGGAAAGCCTCTTCTCTCCTCCTCAGAGGACAAGAAAGGTAACACCAGGCGTTCCTAATGTTCATTAGATGAATGCTTTTAAAAAATAATAAATCAGAGTTCCTTCACTCTAGTGAAACTGAAAAGGGCCAAACCTGTTTTTTCTTCTTCTTTTTCTTTTTAACTGTTTCATGTCTTGATTTGTCTTAAGGAAGGTAACTGCATGTCTTAGTGGGTACATATGTGGATTTGTATTCCCACACAAATAAACTGTCAGTGTTAAGGAGGCAGAAGAGTGGGATTTCTGATACTGCTTGTTTTTGGACACCTCAGTACATAACTAGAGTTACCCTTGGAATGATTTTTCTGTGGATAAAAGACTCTCCCACAAGAAAATTGCAGTGAGGAAAAGCCATCTTTAGGTAAAATTTAAAAATACATAAAAACTAATTTGTGAACGTCTTATGGGTTCTGCCTTTCAAATGATTAAAAAATTGTGTAGAATTTGATAAACTTTCCAAAAGTTCTCTAACACTTTGCTGATTTCTGCCAGGTTTTATACAAATGTAACACTCTACAAGTGGCAGTAAAGCACTCCCAAGGAAGTGAGTCCGAGCCGTTGTTCAGTCTGGGATAAAATCCGAACTGTCTCTCTCACATGGCAGGTACCTGAAAACCTGTGCTTGCTGATATAAAACCCCTGGGTGTTCTAAACAAAAACTGGCTGTGGGTCTGAGCTCCAGGATGAAGTCATGGGCCAAGAACAATTGCTGCTTTCCAGGCTCTTTGGTGCCAGCAAATGCTCCATGGGCACAATGCCCAGCCACGTGTTCTTGTGCAGGCATTTGTGGTAAAGATACTCCCATGGTGAAGGACAGGTAGCTCCAGTGCACTGGAAAGAGAGGAGAAATTTTTCTTCCTGCAGCCAAACGGAAAAGTTTTCTCAGGTTACTGCTTGCTCTGTGTGCTGGATTCAGATATTCACCTGTATAAATACTTAGGCAAGTCATACAGTGCCAACTACAGTAACGTGCTGCAGTGCAGACCTTTTCCTCTGATGAAAGTTGCTTTGGAGATGATTGACTGCCGAAGCTACTGGGATGCTTCTCTGGGAAAGCATTACTAAGGTGCAGCTCCCTGTTGCTTCAAACAGTAGGACAGTTTTGTCCTGTGTAGTGGTAATTGAAACTACAGCTCTGAGGTGGCATTGTGATGCTCTTCTGCCAGAGGCCAGGGAGCTGGGCATGAAGAACTGGCTTCCCAAAATCTGGAGTAGGAAGAATAGGAGAGATGAACACAAAGCCTGAATAAAGTATAGGACATGGAAGGGACCTTTGTGCTGAGAACAGTCTATTTCAGCAGTTGCTGAATCAGTGAATCAGGGATTTAATGTTTTATTGTCACTCTGAGCCACATCCAGACTTATTTCTTTCCTTGCTCACCGTAAGCCTTTTGACTTTATAACAAGCATTTCCTACACGAGCTCATGTTTGTGTCAAATAGATTATTGGCAGATTCAACCTAATATGAAAGAAGAATAATTCCCTTTGAACAACCATGGGCATGGCTTTGAAAGCAGTGCCAGTTGTCTATGGCTTCACAGGCAGTGGAACTTGCTGTTACCAAGGTTTTAGTCTGGAAGCTGATTGTTCCACAAGCCAAAGAAGAGTGCCTGCCCACTGTTATTGCTTCTGCTCTTGAGAGCCCTCTGCCCACCTATGGGATCCCACCCTGCCCAGTCTCCAGCACACAGACAAGCACCAGTATCAGTTGGCACCTGGTAATAGGGGAGAAAGTTTCTTGACTGCCAGTTCTGGGAAAGGGTTGTTTTGGTGGTGTGTGAGAAGGTCTGGGTTTGGTTTCTTGTTCTGCCACAAGGCTTCCTGGATGATCTGGGATTGCCAGTGTCTCGCATTTCCAGATACATGTAATTAGGATAGAATATCTTTCTTTTGTCTTGCCCCCTATGGCTGCAGCTGCATGAGGTGTGGGCTGTCGAGGGATGTGTTCAGTGAACAGTGTTCTGTAGTGATTTGTTAAAAACCATTGAGCACAGCTGGAATTCAGATCAAAGCCCAGTGCCCTCGGTGCTGAGCACAGGCTTTCTGGCGTGATGCAGTAAAAGTGGCTGAAACATGCTGCATGCGTGGCAGACCCATCTGGCCAAGATGTGCAGTGCTGTCAACCAGAGGCTGGTTTGGAAGACAAGCAGCAGGCTGGTTGGGTACTGTGACCATGAGTTAGGTCAGCTACATATCATGCAATGTATGGAAAGATTTTTAACTTCTACCTGAGGACCTTGTGGTTCTTATACCAGCTCTGTCTTCCACCCAGCTTCATAGTTTATGAATCAGACTGGTGAGGTACTACACTTTCTGCAGGAATCATTGTCTCAATGACACAGAGCTTGGGCCAAGGACGCAGAAGCGTCACATTGTTAGCCAAGCTCCTTTAGGCAGCACAGATGGGCACCAAGGGCAGCTGTTCTCCTGGAGTCAGTTTTCCTGACTGATGGATGCAGAGCAGCAGGGCAGGTGAAATTATTTTGGGGAAAACATCCAGAATTTCCTGTGTTTGCAAAAGTGGGTTTTGTTTTCTGGAGGATTCTAGTGCCCCTGTCCCCACACCCAACTCCACTGTGAGTGTCCCTGTGCTCTGCACTAGCATTCTTTGTGTCTGGAATTTCACGAGTAGTCAAGTCGTTGTTTGTGTAGCAAGTCCAGTATTTCCAGGAAGCACGAGAACTGCTTGTGCACAGACAATCCAGTGCTGTCTGGACACATCAGACATGCTACAAAGTCACCTGCCAAGTATGCAGAACATGGGCTGTAGGTGTGACCAGCTCCGTTCAGCAGCTTGTGTCTCCTGCGTAGGTGCCAGCAACTCACAGTAAATGTGATGCTTCTTGGAAGCCCTGAACTTACCATGTAGAGCTGTACAGCACTGGAGATGCAGAGAGTAGCTTTGGCCTGGCTGCTGTGAGCCTCGAAAAATGCTTAGACAGGTGCAGTAACTCTTCAATGCAGCCTGGTGACATGTCTAAGTGGACAAAAGGAATGAGTCCAAGAAAGGCCGACCGGACAGTAACCCCACCTCAGCCAAGTCAGCCAGCAGTGTCTCATGTGAGTCCTAGAAATGAAGCTCTCCCAAGCGAATGGACCCTTCTCACTGGGTACCTGGCCAATATAGTGCCACATGCTGTGTGATGAGGTGCTGTGAATTTTTCCTCTTAACCCTTGGAGATACTGAGCAAGGCGTTAGGGAAATGCCCTCACTGAGAGGTTGGTAATTGCCACTGCCAGCATGATGCACTGCTGCAGGAAAGCAGGAGGCTGCTTGGGTTAAGTGCTGTTCCTAAGCCCTGTAAAGTTTGTTGGATGGGAATCCCCAGAGGGTAAGAGGGAGGGAGAAGCGAGGGGGTGTTTGCCTGGAGCAATAATGAATATATTTTTAGTGGAAGGGAAGGGACATCTCTAGTCGTGGGATAACAGCTGCACAATTTCAAAATTCCTCTGACAAGATGTAGCTAATTCCAGGGCTGCAGGGTTTTGAGGGGTTTGTTTTGTTTTTTGTTTTTCCAAGCTTCAAGTGCCTTCAGCCAATCTCTTGCTCCCTGAGTGTACTTTTCAAAGCACAGATGCTGTTTTGCTGTGTTGATGAGGTCTGAATGTGAGCAGTTCCCTGCTACCATCCATGCTGTGCCCTTAGCATCCCCTGAGCATTGAGCAGGATCCACTACTTGCTGGGGAAAACTTTTTATCTCTCTGAATCCTTCCCTCATTTCTGGAAGGATGATTTCAGTGTGTTTTGGGTACTGGGAATAGTGTGGTGAGCTCCCTCATCCACTCCCTCTTTTCTGATTTTAAAATGCAGCTGAAGAAGGACGACTCAAGCCTGTGGGTCTTGTATGGAGTCATGTTTTTTCCAGGGCCCATTAGCTGGGATTTAAAGCACGTGCAGGATCTCTGTTCTGTGCTGTGCCCGGCAAAAGCGGCCTCTCTCCTCCCCTGTCTTGAACTTGCACTGGGACAGGAGCATTAATCTCTGGGAGTAACTATTTCATTGAGAGATGGAAAGACTTCTATGGCTTGTTAGAGTTAGTTATTTATTTTAAAATGTTTGTTTGCTGAGAGAATTCTGGGGACATTGGGAGAAGGAGCACTGGGTAAACACTGGGAGCCCAGCGCTACTGTTGTCCGCAGGCACGTGGGGTCGAGTACAGTGTGGGACCCACGCTGGACAATGTGGGAATCTGGCCATCTACTTTTCGTGCTGAGCATTACCAAGGGAAGGAAATTGCATTGAAATGTTAAACTGTTGCCCTGATTTACATTTTCAGAGAGAAGAACTGGTGGAGTCAGCTCAGGACTCGCAGTAACCTGTGAGGCCCTGGGAACTGGCCAATATTTCAAACAAACAAACAAAAGTCCCTGGCTGCACTGTCAGGTTCTTACCACATTGCTTATGGTCTCTTTCAACAGTTTTTGGAGAATTTACTGTTCAGACCACTGGCTTCAGCCAGGCATATCAACACCTCCACCACTGAAGTCCTCTTTGGTGTGTGCAGTGCAGCCCACGGCACACCTGTAGTCAGAGCACTGTCCTCAGCTTAATTCTTGCTTTCAGGGAAAGACATGGGGTCAGCTTAGCTGGGCTGGTGAGGAAAACTGCTAACTTGTCTCAGTTATTTAAGGCAGGTTGGAAAAAAAATTCCTGAAAGTGCTGTTGTGGAGCAGAGTGAGGTGCTGTGCACGGGAATGGCAGTTCAGCTTCTGCAGTTCAGTCAGCAGAATTTCCCTGGAGCAGAGCTGAACGTGGACATGGGGCCGATGGCGCTGTGCCTCCCAGTTCTTTGGTGCTGTTCGGCTTAAAGATCTACTGCAAGACAGACCTGGCAATTCTGAGCTACAAGGCTGCTCCTTTGCCAGAAGGGAGGAGCTACCACAGCCTTTGGCAAGAGAGCCACGGTGGTCTTCATCACCAAGTGTCAGAGCAGTGCTGTTGATTATCCAGGCTGCAGGATCTATGTGCATGACCAAGTGGGCTGGTGGAGTGAAGAACACGGAGGGAAACTGTATCAATTTCCCTGCCTTTCTGCCACCTATACACTGCCTAAAGGAAAGGGGAGGGAAATAGGAGGCATACAATGTCACCACGGAGTCCTTGCTGTGTTGTGCGGGTTCTACATGGCAGTTCAAAGGCCCATCTGAAGAAGCAGGTGCCTTTCTTGCTCTCTTCTGGGACACTGGGCCATTGGGAAGTTGGGTGTAAGGGTCTTGTTGGATGATACTGATGTAATTCCCATTTCCTCTGCTTTGTAGGTACAATGGCTTGGTGACTGGCTCTCGAGCTAAAGGTATCATTGCCATCTGCTGGGTATTATCTTTCATCATCGGCTTGACACCAATGCTAGGGTGGCACAATCGCTCCCATATCGAAGAGCTGGGTTCCAATAAGTCCTCTCCCATCAACTGCAGCAACAGTATGGTGGCATGTCTCTTTGAGGCTGTGGTCACCATGGAGTACATGGTCTACTACAACTTCTTTGCCTGTGTCCTCTTGCCCCTCCTCCTCATGTTTGGTATCTACTTGAAAATCTTCATGGCAGCCCGGCGACAGCTCAAGCAGATGGAGAACAAGATGGTACATGGGGAACGTTCTCGCTCTACCTTGCAGAAGGAAGTCCATGCAGCGAAGTCTTTAGCCATCATCGTTGGGTTGTTTGCAGTCTGCTGGCTTCCACTACATATTATTAACTGTTTTACCCTTTTTTGCCCAAATTGTGCCCATGCTCCCCTCTGGCTGATGTATCTGGCTATTATCCTGTCTCATGCCAACTCAGTTGTAAATCCTCTAATTTATGCCTATCGAATCAGGGAGTTCCGATACACCTTCCGTAAAATCATCAGCCAGCATATCCTGGGCCGGAAGGAGCCGTTCAAGGCAGGAACAGCCAGCTCTAGGACTTCCACTCATGGTGGGGATGCAGAGAATGCCAGCATACGGATCAGTGAGTATGCATTAGAGGTATATGCCAACGGAGAGATCCACAGGGATCCCGAAAAACAGGACTTAAACAAATATAAAGCTGGATTTGGATGGCACCAGAATGGAAATGCTCTGGACCTGGAGACAAATGGGCATCTCCCACATTCCTGCAAAAATGGGATTTTCTCAGATGCTTGCATGAACAGGGAGCTTCACAATGAAGAGCTAATTGATGCCCAGGTGTCTTACTCAGATCTAGAAAGAGCAGCCTTTGCAGCAGCTGATATTTCCTGATGAGACTTTCCAAGTCTTCCTGGTAGAGTTATTTTTTTTCCATTGGTGACCTCTGCCATGGCAGAAAGGGGGGCGGGGGGAGAGGTGTGTATTCAGATTGCTGTGGAGAAAGAGGTCCCTACACAGGACTGTTGGGATGATCCTAAATACCAGACTGGAGAAAAGCCAAGAGACCATTGAAAGGGACTAAGGAAGGAGGGACACGTTACCCATCAGTGACCTGTCGCCACGAGCAGTGCCAAGGTCAAAGGTGGCATTCCAAGTTCAGCACTGGGAGACTCTGCTGACGCAGGGCATGTCATGACATTATGTGTATCTGTGGTTGTACGTCGGTTTTGCTGTCTTTACCAACAGAAATAAAAGCATGGCTGGAAGTATTCACTGGATTGCAAAAGAGCAACAGTGAGGAGCCTTTTAGTACTGGCCCTGCAACAAAGGGAAGGGGGATAGCAACATCTATTGGTCAGGAAGGATGCCAGCAGCTGCTTGGAAAGGGAAGGAATTTACCTGATGGGAACTTCAGATACCTTCAACCATGGCATTTAGTCTTTCAGTTCATGTTTTTAAAGTTTATACTGCAATAGGTTGCTCGAATGTTGGGTTTTTTTTTTCCTTGTCTTGATAAGATTATGTTAAGTTATAAAAGATGGGCAAGAATTCATATCCATTCCCTGAGCGCTCAATGTTCCAGATGCATAAGGCAAATATAACCTCATAGCTCTCCACTTTGTTTAGCAAATAACGAGAACTGAGTCTGTAATATCGATTTCCCTTTGCAAAGGGCTGTTTGCAGGACTTGGTGCTGCAGGTAGTAGACAAGCAAGCCAGGCTGTGGTCTGTGTCACCAGAGCAGTCGTGCCCCGAGGTGCTGAGAAGAGCTGTTGGATGTGTGAGCTGTCTGTAGGCTGGTGGTCACTGTCTGCTCTTTCCCCATATCTCTGTGCTTGTCCTCCTGGGCTCCTAGAATGCAAATTCCTTCCATAGCCCTAAAAGTGTGTGAGGGGAGCTAATTTTCCATATTTTGGTCATTTTTGTCCTCACTCAAAAGGCTGAGGGATTTTCTCTTCTTTCTTGCAGCAGGGAGGCACACACACCCCTAATACTTCTTCTTGAAATTCCAATGAGCTATATTTAAAAACCTTTTCTCCTGTTTTCAGTTTTTTCCTGATGTGTTTTACTGTGAAGCTCGATGTGCCCTTGCAGTGCAGAGGCCAACAGAGCTGGGTCTGCCTGATTAGAAGATGCTCCTGCTCTGAGAAGCTGAAAGGCATCAGTAGTAGTGGAAATCAGCTCAGAAACTGCAGTAGCCTGTGTGTATGAGAACAGGCAAATCCGTGCTGCAGCAAGGGTATGTGCTGCTGTGGTTTGTTGTAGAGGTGTTTCACAGCAGTTTCATAATTTTCTGTATTGCTTGTGAACCCTGGTAGCTCAAGGACAGCAGAATGCCACATCAGCTTGTACTCTACCTAAACATTGTCTGGTGTTTGTTTTCCAGACAAATAATCCATGTCCAATGCCACCAGCTTTCTGGAAAGACAGGCAGTAATGGTCCTACTGGAAAACTAAAAAGTCTGCTAATTCCAAGGATCTGAAGCTTATCCCCTAGCTGAAAACATCAGAAGTATCAGCCCCCAAACGTGGCTCCTCCTCATATCCGTCCACTAACATTTCAGAAGCCAAATAATCTCATTTTCAGCAAGGAAAGGGAAACTGCATTTTGATATTTGAGGAAGAGCAGGTGAGCTTTGTTCTTAATCCATGCTTATTTTAAATACTGCAAAGTATTAAAATTGAAAGTCAGTTCTCTTTGAGGAGAATTTTCTGTTTCCAGTCTCCCTACCTGAAGGTGGGGAGTAGTTTATAATGCTGAATGTATTCAAGTATGTAACTGCTCCAGGCTAGCACAGAGCTTCTGTGAGACGGATGAAAAGATGTGGTTGCCACCACAGTCCTTAGCAGAAGGCCAGGCAAGCTTGTAGAACAATAGACTTCACAGTTTAATTGAATTGCTGCTTTCTTGGCGTGGCTCTTCCACGTAGTCTAACGTCAGAGGAGTGGATTATCACTCCAGAACCATTAACAAACACTGAGCTATTTCCTTGTGACTGATGTCATAGATAGTTCCTCTGCAGGGTGACTTTGGACTTCATTACTCTTGATCTTTCTTGATGGAATATTTCTGTAGGTTATTTGTGAGATGGCTCCTCTGACCTCCTGTAACAGTGGCAGAGGAACTCAGTCAGGAAAATGGGGGTCTGATCTCTTCAGGCCTCAGTTGGGAGCTGAAATGTTTCTAAGAATAACACCAGATTACATCCGGTATTCATGTCAATAACAATTAGGTCCACAAAGAAGCAGAGCAGGGAAGGAAGTGTGGGAAAATACCAGCATCGCTCATGTGCTGGAACACACGCAAGTGCAGAAGTGTCTCCTGTTGAGCTTTAGTTGCCATTGTAAAGGGATGTTTTATGCCACATTGCATCAGACTTTCAACAGCTGATGTGGGCTGGTTGCTTTCTATTGTTTCCTGAGCTTCTTCACACTCAATTATGGCAGCTTCTTGCTTGGTTGCTACAAGAATCAAGTTGATCTATGTTGATGCAACAAAATTAGGATTGTCCCTCTGGAAAACTTTCCTGCCCAACCAGATTAACACGTGAGATTACTGAGTTTCCAGATGTCCTGAAATTAGCTTTTCTGTTGTTGTTTGAGATGCCCCCTAAGCGTGTCCAGTCCTTTTCAATATTAGTGATCCAGATTTGAAATGAAAAGGGTGTGTGAAGGGGCTGGGTGATGTGTGCAGGAGGAAGTGCAGTGTGGGTAAGGAGGCAGTGTGTTTTATATAGAATTGGAAGTCTGTTGTCACAGGAAGGAAGGGATGGCAATTGCACCACATGTTGTGTGCCTTCTGGCAAACATATGTCTGAGATGGACCTTCAGAAGATGTTTCTGAAGCAGTTGTTGGAGGGACCATGAGCCTTTTGAACAGAATTTTGAACAGAATAATTTGAATCTATTTCTTGTTCCCTAGGGATCATGATTTCCAGGCTTGCTTTAAAAAAACCAACCAAACAAAACCCAACAAAACTAAGAAGCTGTAGGGTCCCATCAGTGAAGTCTGCTCTTTCCTTCTTCTGACAGTGCCCTCCACTTTTGAGAAAAGTACCTGTCTTCCAAACTCCATAGGGCAGGGATCATTAGAAAAGTGAAAGTTAAATAATTTTCTTCTAACCCCCCTACTCATATCCCCGTTTTCCTTCCAGCTGGAGAGTGTTTAGCTGATGAAATGTAGCTGTTCTGGATAAACAAAGATGGTACCAAGACAAAGGGAAGAATGAGGTGACCATCAGGAGAGGCTGCAGAAGACCTCCTTGGGAATCCAAGGTGCAGTGGGTCCAGAGTGTAAGAGCTGGGGTAAGAAGAGACTAATTTCATTGAACTGGAACTTCTTACTAAAAATGGCTGAAGACCCATACAGAGATGTGGTGCCTCATTTGGCATGAGGGCATTCCATGAATTTCACCATTCCCTGAAGGCTCAGGCTCCAGGGTTTATTTGCTTTATAGGGTTTTGGAGAAAATAAAATTTGATCAGTTGCCAGGAGTAATTTTATCAAGAGTTCTTCTTAGAGCCCTTTCCTCAACAGGGCACTGCTTTTTGTGTGTGCAAATAAATGCACTTACAAATTTGTCCTGCAGAGTTTTTGTTGGATCAGTAATATTTCAAAGCTCTGTGCAAGCTTGAACTGCAGCTCTTAAACAGAGAAGCAATTTGGCATGGAGGGACAGCTGGGGTTACTGTAGATGGGAAGCATTTGCCACTGGTCCCCGTTGGAGCTAGGAAGCTTATTGTGCAAGTGGACTTGGGAGTTTTATGGAATACTCTGAATCTTTGATCATTCTTTGAAAAGAGGCTCCAAGGGATGCTGGTGAATATGGATAAGTCTCTAAGGTGTGGGAGAAGACTGGAGGGTTTGGGTTAGATGGGAAAACGTGGTGGTGAAGGAAGATTTGTAGGGTAGGTGTTTGGAGGTTTTCAGGGGAGCAGGAATGTGCTGGGAGGTGCTGAGGGTTGCACAGATGGTGCTGGCATGAGACCAAGGTGTGACTTGCTGGGGGAGGACTCTGGAAAGGATGTACAGTCTTACAGCTTTCCTGGGGTCACTGCAGAGGGTCAGCCTTTCCTGATGTGTGCAGAGGGTTGATTTTGTGTGGTCTATATGTGACTGAGGTAGAGAAGGTTCTTATGAATTATCTCCTTTCAGATGCATTATCTCAGTTCATGAGCATGTCCAGGTATAACAAAAGCCCTTCTGCTTCATGAACATGAGTCCTACCTAAAAACAAATCAAATAAAGGTAACAGTGCTGTGATACATTAAAACTGGAGAATACTCTCTAGTGGTGTTTGCTAAGTTTAGCTGCCTAATAGTCAGTTGTCTCCCGATTTGTTTTGGGCATCAGACTGCACTGAGTCATACCAGACAGTTTTTATTTTCTAGCCCTGAGCTTTTGGCCATCTTTACAGTAAAACACATCAAGAGTAACTAAAATCACACCAGTTCCTCATTTGCATGAGAGGTGACTAACCCTGACAGACTGAGAATCTCAAAACTGGGGCAGTGTTTCATGTAACTCCCTGTCTTCCTCATTTGCTGGGACTGTTCACACAAGGTTGTGTTAAAATCAAGACTGGAACCTGTTGATCTGAGAACATCCTTTGCGTCCCCTACTCTGTCTCAGGAGCTGGTGTTCCTGCCCCCTGTCCTGTGGAGCAGTTGTCTCTGTGGTCTGCAAACCAAGACACTATGAACACCTTGCTGCACACACTGTCACTATAAACCAATTACTCTTTTAATTTAAATGTTTTATGAATATAGTTGTTGTTTTCCCTCTGTTTGTCAGTTACCAGTGGGAGGGGAGGGAAGGGGGTGGGAGAATCTGTGCATGCAAATGTATTTAAAGTGCGTTGACCAAAGGGGTTTGGGGTTTTTTTTTAATCTGTGAAGTTTTCATATCTGTGAAGTCATCAGACTGCTGGGCAGTGAGGAGCCACTGGTGCTGCTGAGTCTGTCTTGGTTACATTTCTTAATAAGCATTAAAATAATAAAATATATTTGTAAAAGAGAGTGTGAGTTCCTTTGTCCCAGCAAGATCTGGCTGGCTGTCCCTTTTTTGTGCAAGTGTTTTCTTATTATTTTAAATGTTCTCTTATTATTTTATTAGCTTTTTCCATAGGCTGATCCTTCCGGAGAGCTCTCTCCCTGGTGCTGCCTATTCTTTCTCAGAAGCTATTAGCAAGGACTAAGGTGACAGA